TATACATGTCTTTCCTCTATTTCTTCCGTGACCATTCCAAAAGCGTCCGTGAAGCTTTAGCCCATCCTGGTTGGCGTCAGGCCATGTTAGATGAACTAAGTGCTCTTCATAATAGTGGAACTTGGGAATTGGTCCCGTTACCGTCTCGGGAAATCTGTTGTTGGTTGCAGGTGGGTGTTTGCTATCAAAGTTGGACCCGATGGTACTATTGATCGCCTCAAAGCTCGTCTTGTGGCCAAAGGTTATACTCAAATTTTTGGGTTGGATTATGGAGATACCTTTTCCCTCGTGGCAAAGATGGCTTCGTTCGTTTATTTATCGCCATGGTCGCTCTTCAACAATGGCCTCTTTATCAACTCGGATGTTAAAAATGCTTTCCTCAATGGTGATTTGCAAGAAGAAATATATATGGAGCAACCTCCTGGGTTTGTTGCTCGGGGGAGTCTTCCGGGATGGTATGTCGTCTTCGCAAATCCCTATATGGCCTAAAACGAGTCTCCTAGGGCTTGGTTTGGAAAGTTTAGCAAGGTTGTTCAACAATTTGGTATGACTCGGTGTGAATCAGATCATTCTGTCTTTTATCGACACTCGAGTGCTTGGATGTGTTTACTTGATAGTATATGTTGATGATATTGTTCTTACAGGTAGTGACAACCATGGCATCTCTCGGTTGAAACAACATCTTTGTCACCATTTTCGGACCAAAGATCTTGGCAAACTTAGATATTTCTTGGGTATTGAGGTAGCACAGTCCAATGATGGTATTGTTATATCTCGGAGGAAGTATGCCATAGATATTTTGGAAGAAACTGGGTTGATGAGTTCAAAGTCCGTTGATACACCCATGGATCCCAATACTAAACTTCTACCAAATCGTGGGAGCCTATATCCGCTCCTGAGCAGGTATAGAAGATTGGTTGGAAAATTGAATTATCTTACGGTTACTCGTCCCGACATTTCCTTTGCGATCAGTGTGGTAAGTCAATTTCTTAATTCACCATGTGAAGATCATTGGAATGCGATCATTCGTATCTTGAAGTATATTAAAGGATCTCCTGGAAAAGGATTGTTATATGCTTCTAATAACCATACAAGAGTTGTTTGCTACTCAAATGCTCGATTGGGCGGGATCTCCTTCGGATAGAAGATCTACATCCGGATATTGTGTCTCCATTGGTGGTAACTTGATTTCATGGAAAAGTAAGAAACAAAGTGTTGTGGCAAGATCCAGGTGCAGAAGCGAGAATATAGAGCTATGGCCTCGGCTTCCCGTGAACTTGTTTGGCTCAAGCAATTGCTTAGAGAGTTACAATTTGGAGATGTCACTCAAATGACACTTGTGTGTGACAATCAGTCTGCTTCTTCATATTAGTTCTAATCCTGTCTTTCATGAGAGGACCAAACACATTGAGATTGACTTGTCATTTTATTCGAGAAAAGATTATGTCCGGAGATATCAAGACCGAGTTTGTTAACTCAAGTGATCAGTTAGCAGATATTTTTACTAAATCTTTACGGGGTCCTAGAATTGATTATATTTGTAACAAGCTTGGCACATACGATTTGTATGCTCCGACTTGAGGGGGAGTGTTAGATATTGTTTATATATTATTTGATATTGTTAAGATATTGTTAGATATTGGTAACCACAATATCAAACAATATCTTCTGTTTATTCTGTTACTTTCAGTTACTCTTTTAGTTGTATTTCTCTACTATAAATAGACCACCCTATGTGTGATTTATACACAAGGGAAATTAATTCCAAACTATATTTTCTTTATATTTTCTTTAATTCCAAAAAAAAAAAATGTTAGATATTGTTTATATATTATTTGATATTGTTAAGATATTGTTAGATATTGGTAACCACAATATCAAACAATATCTTCTGTTTATTCTGTTACTTTCAGTTACTCTTTTAGTTGTATTTCTCTACTATAAATAGACCACCCTATGTGTGATTTATACACAAGGGAAATTAATTCCAAACTATATTTTCTTTATATTCAACATGGTATCAGAGCCAAAGCCTAACATCTTTCTCGGTTATTGTCATGGGCCAAAAGTTGCCCTTTAGTTGGGTCAAAAGTACCCTTTGCCTGGTCCGTAGGCTTCGTTGGAGGGTGTGTTGAAAGTCTCACATCGCCTACCTCATATCATTTGGTATGGTTTAAATACATGTTAGGCTACTCCACATATTGCCAATTGGTTTTATGTTGGAACCTTAACATCTTTGATTCAAAGGATATTCATGTATCCGAAGACGTTTTCATGGGTCACGCTCCAAAGAATTAATATTAAATTCATTAGTTTTAATTCTATGAATCTTAGAAAGGGGTTCTTCTAATTGAATAATTGGATCATCAATATCATGCTTTGAAACAGGAGAAGATGTTGAATTTGTTTGGTTTTCATCTCTACAAGTATCTCTTTTATCACTTTTAAAAAATGAATCTATTCTTTTATGCTTCATATCTAGAGAAAAATGAATCTATTATTAATTTTCTAATTGTAGAATCATAAAAATTTATAAAAAACAAAAACAATTTTCTCAAACAACAAATGTTCTTCAACAAAAATCAAAATAACAAGCAATAATAGAATAAACAGTGAAAAGATGAAGAAAAAGTACCTTTATCAATCAATATAATTTCAAGTATGGAATCTGAGAAGGGAGGATGAGAGATGAACAATGAATTTGAAAGTACAAACTACAGAAATAACTTAATATTAATCAATCAATATTACCGTTTGTGAGTGAATATGTAAAGGTGAGAGAAGATGAAGAAGTACTTTTAACCTTTCTTATTTAATATATTCTTTAGAAATTAGAGAAGCAATTAAATCCTAATAAAATATTACCGTTAATGAGACAAGTATGAAAAAGTGAGAGAAGATAGAAAGGTCAGATAATAAAATTATTTTTAATCTTTCTTATTTAATTTATTCCTTCAGCTTTTTTCTTTATGATATATTTAATATTGGGGGGGGGCAAAATCATAGATATACAAGTAAGTTACAAAACTTTGGGGGGACCATGACCCCCTTAATTACTATGAAGATCCGCCACTCGCTTAAGGATGAGGTTTTTGAAAAGAGATTATATGGAGTCGCCACGAGTGTTTTAACCTTAAACACTTGAAAAAGGTAGTGGTTTTTAGAAAAAACCAACTTTAGCTATTATAACCAGAGTCGAGTATGGGAGTTAGTTACGTGTGGAGAATGTGTTATTATATATTTATATATTTATATATTTATATATTTATACGTTGGATGTGACGACACCCTCAAGGATGAAAATGTGTGTTGAGTGCGTTTTCAAAATTTGATGTTAAACTTACGAGGGTGTTTCTTTATATGAGTTTATAATTTAATGACAGAATAAAAATCTTTATAATTTATTTATATAATAATATAAAATAATTTTTTCTTTATTTATTTTTATTTTATTTTAATGTATTCTTTTTATCTTCTTTTTATCTTCTATTATTTGATTAAAATTCTAATATCAAAATAATTTTTTCAATATTAAAAATACTTAAATATTTATTTTTAAAATTATTTAATTTAACATATTATTATAAATTAATCTAATTATGATTAAATTAAATTATTAAATAAAAAAAATATTTAATTTTTTAATTGGGTGAATAATTAATTTATTAGAATATATTTAAAATTAAGTAATTATTATATAATTTTAAATATTTAATTTTTTTAATTTAATGTTGATTTTTAAAAATATACTTTAAATTTATTGGTAATTAATTGTTCATTTACGAATGGATTTACTTGACGGATATATTCGTTGGAAATTAATTGTTTATTTACATACGAATTTACTAACGAGATATATTCATCGGTGATTAATTGTTTATTTACCGATAAATATATATGTAGGTAAGACTAAATTCTATAATTATTTTAATTCATCGGTAATTTTTGTCGGTAATCACTCATATTTCGACAACTACATATCTATTAATTAATAATTTTCTTCTTTTAATTGTTGACAAAATCAAAATGTAACTTACATCTTAGAAAGATAAAGCTCTAAGTATGATGGGAAGAATTAAATTGTTTAATTCGATGATTGTTGACACCTTTCATTTGTTTTCAGATTTACAAATGACCCGTTGAATTGCTTAGTTATAACATCAAAAGCTAGATTAGAAACATCATTTTGGTCTGGGAAAATTAATAAAAAAAAGCTGGTTACTGTTAATTGGAAAAATCTTCGTAGTCCTAAGCTTGTTACTAAAATTGGCCTGGTAATTTTATTATAGTACTTTGCCTTGGACCAATTTGATGAGAGTTAGATTTACCATAAAAAATGCTATGATGACAAATTTTGAATCGTCTTCTATATGGGCTGACATTACTACAATGTATTATGCGACTCTTGACAATTCTGGATGGATTATTTGGCAATGGTCATGATGTACGTTTTTGGACTAATAAATGGTTAATGGATATTAACATATATAGCTTATCATCACCATGGGATTCCTTACTATATAAAGATATTGATAGTAAATCTAGGATCAAAGATGATTGGAATAGTAGACACTGGTCTGTGCCAAACTCAATTATGCAAAAAAAAAAAAAAATCCTGAGTTGCATAAATGGCTTAGTCATATAATTATCAGTAATAGAAAGGATGAGGTTATCTGGAATGTCTTCTGATGGCAATCTCAAGCTTAAAGAAGCTCGTAACTTCATCATTAAACATAAATCTTTTAAGGAATGGAGCAAGACAATATGGGGCCAAAATATTTCAAAAAGAGGAATCCAGATGGCTTCCGAATGCTACCTTTGTGCATTTGATTCTTTAAATCATTTATTTCTACACTGTAGCATAACTAAACCATTTTACACCTGAATTCAAGTAATTTTTAAACACTGATTAAATTTGTTCTCTTTAGAAAATCTGTTGAATTTCGTGTAGGATAATTACAACTCTCAAATCAAGGAAGTTAGACTAGCTACACTCACCAATGCCATCTGGATTATCTAGAAGATGGATGAGGAATGCACACAAATATCAAAACCCATTTTCTGCTCAATCTACTATTAACATGATCAAGCATAACATTCAGCTTACTGGGTAACATGTCCAAAGGGGTAATGAATAATAGAATAGAAGATTTTTCTGTTCTTAAATCATTTAACATCCAAACGCATCTGAGGAAGAGTAGTAAAATTACTCAAGTGTACTGGTTATATACGCAAATCGGCTGCATTAATGCAATGTAAATGGTGTTGCTAGGGGTGCTCCTATTTTGGCTGCTAGTGGTGGCATATTTAAGGGAAGCACGGGTGAATTCATTGGTGACTTCTCTACTCCTATGGGTACTAACTTTGCTTTTTACGCGAAGCTTGAAGCTGCTATGCTGGCTATTGAATTAGCATTGATAGAAGCTGGACTCATTTATGGTTGAATTGTGACTCAATTATGTCCATAATATCAATATTGTGCCTTGGAACATCAGAAATCGCTGGATTTGTTGCATGGAGTTAGCTGAAAAAATTACATTGAAGATCATTATTTTTAGAGAAGGGTATAAATGTGCGGATAAATTTGCGAACTTAGGAATTGATAATAGAATTGATTTTATATGGTATAATAATTTACGTGATGGATAAGACCGATTTCTTAAGAAACAGGTGTGGACTGTCTCAGTTTAAATCTGGTTAATATATAGGCTTCATAGGTATTGGCTGAAATCCCATGCTTTGTTTTATTTTTTATCATCTAATATACTACAATTAGCTAAAAAGAAAAAAAGTTCAATAGTAAGTGTCATTCTTGAAAATCAAATATTGGATATAAATTTCCATGTTTAAAATAAGAACAAAAAAGAAATAGAAAATACAAACCAAGTAAGAAAAGAAGATGATGCCATAATCTAAATTGATAAGTTGAGTATGTAACAATCTAAATTGATAAACTAAAGAAGATTCATCACATTGAATTGGAAATTCAAAAAATAAGTATTAAAAGATCTTCAAAGAATCTCTCACAAAGTTAAACTTCAAAATCTAAATTATCTCTATTATGAAAAAAAAAAAGTATACAAAAGAGTCTAATATATGAACCTAAGACTTTAGACTCATTTCTAATAAAAAAAGTGTTAAAAATGTCAAATTATAAAATTAAAGAAACTCATTGAAGGTCAAACAAATGCTTAATAAAAGAACTTACAAAAACTAAATCTAGAAATTAATTAAAATTTTAATTTTATACTCGACCACTTAAGACACTCATCATCCTTCGTAAGTTGAAAAGAATTCTTCCATAAATTCACTGCTTTATTATCTAAAAAAATTGACAAACATAAGGCAAATAAACTAAAAGATAAAGCAATATAAAATACAAGAAATTGATCTAAATTAATATTTGAATCTAACGAAGGACAAATCTCTTATTAACGATACGTTTGTATACACTACTAGAAAAATGTCAAATAAGTAACTCGAAATCAGTTGATCGAAAAATTTAGTTACTATCAGTTGACCGAATCAAGTAACCAAATTATTATTTTTTAGTCTAGTAACCGAAATTTCGGTCACATAAAATCGGTTACTATTTCAGTCACTTTATTATTTAATTTATTTTTTTAATTAATCTATATTTAATTTATGTAATTATTTTTGTTACTCGATTTTTTTTATATTTAGTAACTGATTTAGTGACTAAAATTTCAGTCACTAAAAAAATAATTTTTAAACTGATAGCTATTTTTCATTTATATAAATATTTTATTTAAAATATTTTAAATATAAATTTACTTAATAATTTAAAATAATTGATAACATTTTTAATAACATTATAAATATTTTAAAAAAATTGTTTACTAACTTATTAAATAATTTAGTAATATAATTATTTGATTTTATTTTTTAATTTAGCATGTGAATAAAAAAATTAAAATTGATTATTAAATTAGTCACCGAATCGGTCACTCGATTCGGTCATCGAATCGGTCACTCGATTCGGTCATCGAATCTAGTCACTAAATCAATAATTAAATTAATTATTAATTTAGTCTCTTATATATATATATATATATATATATATATATATATATATATATATATATACTTGTATGTTAATAAAAATGTATTTCAATGTATTTATAAAAAATTAAAATTATTTTAATTACTGAATTGATATTTTAAATTTATATTAATATCTTGAATAATTTAATAGTTGGATATATATATATATATATATATATATATATATATATGTATCACTTTAATTTTTTTAATTAAAATTAATTTCATAAAAAAATTAATATTTGAAAATTAAAATGCAATATATATATATATATATATATATATATATAATTTATTTATTTTTTAAAGATGATATATTCAATGTATGTTAAAAAAGTTCAAGCCAAACTGTTTTTATAGAAGATTTTCAAAAGCTATTGGTTTAATTAATCTGTTAAAAGATTCTTTTAATCTGTTAAAAGTGCAGCTTTAATCTGTTAAAACTTCTTTTAATCCATTAATACGTTCTTGATTCTTTAACATATTTGTTTTAACCGATACGACAACGTTTATATCAATTAAAACACTTTACAAAAAATCTTCTAAGTTAATTTAATCGATTGTTTCGCGATTCAATCGATTGAAATATCGCAAAACTTTCTCCTAAAACTTTTCAAGTTATTTTAACTAATAAAAATAAGTTTTAATCGATTAAAATGCTTGTGTGAAATTGTTTTAATCGATTGAAACAAGATTTAATCGATTAAAATAGTTATGATCGGTCATAATTGCATTCTGACCGATCATAATGGAAACCATATAATAGCGGTTCAAGGGTTAACCGCTATCTAAGTGATCTTTTAAGAGCGGTTCTCGTGTAACCGCTATCTAAACTGTATCTCGCTTGAGCGACAACGTTTCGCTCGAGCGAAACGCCCTCGCACAAAATTAGTACTCTCGGGTTGTATTTCGCTTGAACGAGTCTAGTCTCGCTCGAGCGATATTTGATTCTGATCGATTAGATTTTCGAAATGATCGATCATATTTGATAATTTTTTCAAATAATTAATTATAATCGATTAGTTTTCTAAATTATTGATTAGAATTGATTAGTTTTTCAAATAATAGATTAGAATTGATTAATTTCGAAATATATACTAAAAAATTATAATTAAAACTATAAATTAGTTAAGAATATTGACTATTGTAAAGATAAAGTAGAACATGGGAGGAGATGAGGATGATAATATAATGATAGAACTTACAAAAATGTAGAATTGAGAAGTTTGAAACAAATAAAATTAAGAAAATAGATATTTAATTACACTTTTAATAAATTTAAGATAATACTAGTTTTGATTTTTATTTTTAAATATTTATTTTAATTATTTAAAACAGAGAAACTATAATTTTACTTTCTAGCTACTTGAATTTAAAGAATTAAATTTATTATTATTTAATCTTTTAATTTTAGTATTACAATTTTAAATTATATTTTATTAAATTAAAATAATTATAATATATTTTTCTACTTTGAGAATGAACAATATATTAAACTCAAAATTGACAATATTATAATACATTTTTGAACTCTTTTTTCATTAATTTTTTTTCCAAATTTTTTATAAAGTTAATTTTAATATTTAAAAGTATTTAACATTTTGAATTCTGAAAGGTTTTCTCTAATAGAAAATTTAAAAACATAATATAAAAAAATAGTTAATGTAAGTTTTCATTATGATCGGTCATAATTGCATTCTGACCGATCATAATGGAAACCATATAATAGCGGTTCAAGGGTTAGCCGCTATCTAAGTGATCTTTTAAGAGCGGCTTCGTGTAATCTGCTATCTTAATCGTATCTCGCTTGAGCGACGATGTTATCGCTCGAGCGAAACGTCCCTCGCACAAAATTAGTACTCTCGGGTTGTGTTTCGCTGAGCAAGTCTAGTCTCGTCCGAGCGATATTTGATTCTGATCGATTATATTTTTGAAATGATCGATCATATTTGATAATTTTTTCAAATAATTAATTATAATCGATTAGTTTTCTAAATTATTGATTAGAATTGATTAGTTTTTCAAATAATAGATTAGAATTGATTAATTTCAAAATATATACTAAAAAATTATAATTAAAACTATAAATTAGTTAAGAATATTGACTATTGTAAAGATAAAGTAGAACATGGGAGGAGATGAGGATGATAATATAATCATAGAACTTACAAAAATGTAGAATTGAGAAGTTTGAATTACACTTTTAATAAATTGAAGATAATACTAGTTTTGATTTTTATTTTTAAATATTTATTTTAATTATTTCAAACAGAGAAACTATAATTTTAGTTTCTAGCAATTGAATTTAAAGAATTAAATTTATTATTATTTAATCTTTTAATTTTAGTATTAAAATTTTAAATTATATTTTTCTACTTTGAGAATGAACAATATAATTAAACTCAAAATTGACAATATTATAATACATTTTTGAACTCTTTTGGATTAATTTTTTTCCTAATTTTTTATAAAGTTAATTTTAATATTTAAAAGTATTTAACATTTTGATATAATGAGCATGATAATATAATGATAGAATTTACAAAAATGTAGAATTGAGAATTTTTAAATCTTTTTCTAATATTTATTTTTAAAAATATAATATTATTTTTAAAATTTAATATTTTTTTTCAAATATATAAATATATAAAGATATAAATGTATAAGGATATAAATAAATATATAAATATATCAAAATATAAATATATAAAAATATAAATATATAAATATAAGTTTCTTGTAAAACTTTTCAAGTTATTTTAACTCGATAAAAATAAGTTTTAATCGATTAAAACGTCGTGTGAAATTGTTTTAATCGATTGAAATGAGATTTAATCGATTAAAGAGTTCTGATCGGTCATAATTGCATTCGACCGATCATAATGGAAATCATATAATAGCGGTTCAAGGGTTAACCGCTATCTAAGTGAGCTTTTAAGAGCGGTTCTCGTGTAACCGCTATCTAAATTGTATCTCGCTTGAGCGACCAATGTTCTCGCTCGAGCGAAACGCCCCTGCCCAAAATTGGGATTCTCGGGTTGTATTTCGCTGAGCGACTATAATCTCGCTCGAGCGATGGTGCAACCGCTATTAGAAGTAAATATAAACATATAAATATATAAATATATATAAATATGTAAAGATATAAACATATATCTTTAATATTTTGTAAATGTAAATATAATTTATATATATTTTTAAATCTTTTTCTTATATTTATTTTTAAAAATATAATATTATTTTTAAAATTTAATATTTTTTTTCAAATATATAAATATATAAAGATATAAATCTATAAGGATATAAATAAATATATAAATATATAAATATATAAATATATAAAAATATAAATATATAAAAATATAAATATATAAAAATA